GATGATTTTACCATGGACTCAAGTGGGAAAAACCATGGAAGGAACAGGTATGGTGTAGAAGAAGAGGTGTTTGCTTGGGTATATGAGATGTTTGAAGTTTGATTCTACTATCTTAAGCAGTTTGATTATTTTCTCACAAACTTATTTTGATTAAGTCTCTCAGTTTCTAGGGTATAATATTCCTCAACCCAAACACAAGGAAGAGATTTTGTTTTTAAATAATAATTTGGCTTTTATAAGTTCCAGTTGGCTTCCCATGTGGCTCAGTGGTAAGGAATCCACAGGCCAATGCACGAGATGTGAGCTTGACCCCTGGGTCAGGAAGATCCCCTGGAGAAGGAAATGGCAATCCACTCCAGTATTCTTGCCTTGGAAATCCCATGGACAGAGGAGCCTGGTGGGATGGTCCATGGAGGTCACAAAAGAATCAGACACAATTTAGCGATTAAGCAATAACTTCCAATAGTACACGAAATACTTTGAGATTATCTACTATTTTGAAAAATAAAAATGTAAATATCAACACACTGTTTAGTAGTTACTTATTTATTGTTATCATTATGTGTTGAACACTGTGCTAACTGCTTTACAGATGTTACCTAGTCCCCACAAACACTATTATTTCCTCCTATTTTCCAGATAAGAACAATTGAGAATTTAAAAGGGCCTGGGGACACAGTCTGTACTCATAACAGTTAGTGGGACTGTGTGTGTGTGCTCAGTTACTTCAATCATGTCCAAATCTTTGCAACCCAATGGTGCCCATGGGATCCTCCAGGGAAGAATTCTGGAGTGGTTTGCCTCCCCTCCTCCAGGGGATCCTCCTGATTCTGGGATAGAACCCACGTCTCTGATGTCTCTTGCATTGGTAGCAAGTTCTTTACCACTAGTGCCACCTGGGAAGCCCGATAGCTAGTGAGACTATTCCCACTAGTAAGATGCTATGCTTAAAGGCATTCTATTTTATATATTTGTTTCTTTTTGAAAAATGGTAATGTTGATTTTTATGCATATATTCATAAAAATTTCTAGTTTTTCTTTATATTTTACCTTTTATTAGCATATTTTAATTCAGGTTCATACTAAATAGAAGTAAATATTTAATTATCATTTAAATATTTAATTTAATATTTAATTATTTAATATTGACGGCTGGATGGCATCACCAACTCGATGAACATGAGTTTGAGTAGCCTCCAGGAGTTTGTGATGGACAGGGAGACCTGGCATGCTGCGATTCATGGGGTCGCAAAGAGTTGGACATGACTGAGTGACTGAACTGAACTGAACTGACTGAATATTTAATAAGATTTATTATGACTGGTTCCAATTTAGGAATTCATATAGTATCAGGGCAACCATACTGAGTCATTATCAGATGAATAATCATAAAAATAACTGCTTAAAATATTAGGTAAGCTGGGCTACCCTGATGGTCCAGTGATTAAGAATCTGCCTGCCAGTGCGGGGGATGTGGGTTCAATCCCTGGTCCAAGAAGATTCCAAACACAGTGGGGCAACTAAGTGCACTGAAATTACTGAAGCCCATGAGCCCTAGAGCGAGCTTGTGCTCTATGACAAGAGAATCTATCACAACTAGAGAAAGCCCCCATGCAGAAGCAAAGACCCAGTGAAGCCAAAAATAAATAAATCTAAAATGGTCTCTCCCTGTCTTGCCCCAACTTTTAAAAAAAATTAAGTTGAAAAAAATGTCAATCATATTATCCTAGTTAACGCCATTTATGAAAATCAGATATTAGATCAGTAACATCTTTTAAAAAGTTGGAAGTGTGGGTTACTCAGTCACTCCACAAGATGGGTTTAATCAATCACAGACTTGTCAGTTTTGTTTAGGATTCATAAATGATAATTTACTGTGTTAAGATTGTAAAAAATAATTTTCAAGATGGTAAACCTAGTGAACAGGTACTGATTCTAAATATTAAAATATAAAAGTAGGCACATCAATTCAGCAGGAAACTTCTTAGTGATGAAGAACAAATGCCTGAATGAAGGAAAGGAAATTAATCAATTACCAATTAGTCTTGAGGAAAATGTGATCACTAGATTTTCCACAGAAAATATCAGGCTTCTCTGGGTTGTGCTACATACAAAACAAGGCCAAAGAGGAATCTTGTGGTGCCAAGAGCAAATCTGGATTAATCATTAGTGGCTAGTCCCTTGACAAGTGTGGCTTCCTGCCTGGGACGTCGTACCCCTGTGTTGAATTTCGACTACTGCCAGTAGGGCAGAGACCATCATTGCCACATCCTCAGGTCCTATGGAAGATCCCATGATGCCTCACTTTCTTCTTAATTTTTTTGGCCATGCCACACAGCTTATGGGATCTTAGTTTCACAACCAGGGACTGAACCTGAGCCCTGGCATTGAAAGTGCAGAGTCCTAACCACTGGACCTCCAGGGAATTCCTGACTATTTCCTTAATGATGAATTTAGTTCAGAAACAGAATATATTGAGATTTTGGCAATAGAAGACTTTTAAAAAAATGATAGGGCTTATTTAAAACCAGGCTTAAGGTGAAACAGTGAGAAAAATGAAGATGAGATCATCTCCCTTTGAAATTCTTGATAACTTTAGTAAGCTAATAAGGTCCCTTTTGTAAATTAACATTCTTTACTATTGGTGTCTCATTGAATGCTAATGTGATATATCTTCACTTTATTCTTAAAAAAAAAAACCCTGTTAATTTAATGCACAGAATGATGATTTCCCTTTGGATGTCTTAGACTCTGGTTTATTTCCTTGTTTCCAGTCTTTATAATTTTCTACATAGATGAATGACTATATTTTTCTATTCTCCATTTAAAAATAGGTCATGAGAAAAAAGTTATGCCAATGCAACTAATCTTCAGCTAGCTAGTGCCAGGAAAGCAACATTCATAATATTGTCCTCATTGCCTTTCCTTTTGGAATTGTGGTGCCAGGTGAAATGATTTACTGCCAGCCTGGACTGAGACTTGAGCTTTGTAGAAAAGATTTATTGGCATCAACTTTGCATAAAGCCATAATCATCCCTGAAAAGACATTTGTCACTATAAACCCTTATTTTCAGGTGCCTGACACTTTCCATAAAAAGCTTTTCAAGTGGAAAAGTCATTTGAGTTTTCAGGTCCTTTATTCCAGTATTTCTTAATCATTTAAAAGTCTCTCATTCCTTGAGTTTTCTGGACACATTAGGACAGTGTTTCTGAGATCTGTCTCTAGGTTTCCATGAGGTAGGATGGAGTGGGAACCATAAATGTGCATTTTAACAAGTGCCTGAGTAGATTCTGCTGCAAGCAGACTTTGAGAAACACTCTTCAGAAAAGGGTAGAGTCCTGTGTATAAATTCTGGCTCCACACTTTTTATTTGTGTAACTTTAACATATGTCTCATTTGTTTCCTTATGTATATTTCTTAAGTATACTTCAATTGGGTGAGTATACTTTCTGTTCATAAATTGTTTAGTTTAAAGAAAATAAAGTAAGGAAGCACCTTATAGGAAGTACACATAGGAAGCAGATAATGCATTTTATTGTTTTCTCTACCACTGTGACAACAAACACACAAACAAAATTATATATGTATACATACACATTTGACAGTAAGTCTAAGGTGGAACAGCTCTAGGGTAAGCAAACTGATCTCTTGATCACAATGGGAAACAACATTCACTTATAGGTAGCAGCAATTAAGACAAGGCCACAGCCTTGCAAACAGTCAAGGTTAGGGGACATTAAAAAGAAGAGGCAAAGATATCAAGATTGACAATCAAAGAGGCCCTAACTAGGGACACCAGTTCAAGGAAGATGAAGAGGCTGAAAACATTCCTCAAGTACCAGTGACAGGCCTTCATATCCATTTACGGTAGCCTGAAATTGTCAGCTATTTACCGTATTCATTAACTTGCCAAGAAGCTGCATAAATTAATCAGTCCATCATTTACTTTTATCTGTGTCACAAATCAGAGGAGTTCAAAAGTCAGCCTAAAAGCACTTGTGCATTTCAATTGATTCCAAATGTAGGGTCATTATAGTATTTGCCTCCTTATAAAATAATTTATAGTGTGCATCCTTTATAAGTGGGTCTGTGAACTCTGAGGTCAATTATTCAAAATATTTAAGTTCTGAATTTTCTGATCGTTGCATTATACTTCTCTTTTATTAATTATCTGTGTTGATACACCTAGATCATTTGTGTTCTTTTTTTAATACATATATTATTTATTTAATTTTATTTAGTTATTGTTTTGGTCACACCTCATAGCATGCAGGATCTTTGTTTCCTGACCAGGAATTGAACCTGTGCCCCCTGTAGTGGAAAGGCAGAGTCTTAACCACTGGACCACCAGGGAAGTCACTCTGTTTCCTCTTTAAAACTCAAAGAAAAATCTCCATTTGTTCAGTTTTGGAGAAAATATAGTAAATCATGAAATTATCCAGAAAAGAGAAACCACCAAGCAGTAGTACATTTTACCCTGCTGTGGTTACTTCCAGATTTATCCATTTTTGTTGGTCCAACATATACTCATTAAATTGTTTGTTTTTAAATGAGATATATATTCAGAGTATTGTTTTGTCTTCGTTATTGTTTTATAAATACCCAAAGAATATTTTATGAGGTATTCCATATAAAAATAAAAATCTGGTAAATTTGTGCTCATAATATCCAAATCTTACTTAATCTAATGGATTTATTACTGAGACAGATACAAATACATTTATTAATTAAAAATAGAAATTTTACAATGACATAAATATCTAGGTCCTTACAAACAGATTTGTTTAAATGTTTTAGTACTGGGCTAACATTTATTCTGGTTTAAAATGGATCATAGATTATTAGAAAACTACTTAAAATACTGGAGATAAAAAGCTCATGGAAAATTTAAAATGCTTACTGATTATAGAAATGTAAAACGTGAGCTTGTAACTTTAAACAATCAAATATCATTTAATCCATATTTATATTTTTTAATCTATATTTATTGATTGCCTACCTTGGAAACACTGGGAAAATACAAAAGAACTCTTGCACGGAGTTCCAGGGCTGCCACATTGCTCGGTTCCAGGGGGATGTTGAGATCTGCTTTGTGAGGATGGGATCCTGGAATTAAGAGGGCACATTCAGCCGTCAGGGTTGGGTGTAGCAGCAGTTCATGGTTCCTGTCCTCAACTAGTTTACAATCTATCTGAGTAAGGGTAACAATATGAGGAGAAAGAAGGGAGACAAAAATTAAGATGGAATATGCAAAAGATATGGAATGCAATTCATTTCTTTTCTCCTCATAAGGTAACAATCAACAGATTCTAAAATAACTTGGGTAACCGAGCATACAGTCAAACACACACTCTGTATAACAGAGTGGGCCTATGGGAATCAAGAAGCGTGGAGATTAGTGACTCTACTAATTAAGGCCCTGGTGAAAATAAAAAATGAGCCAAGGAAAGAATATGATCTTCAGTCATTCAATGAGATTGGGTTTCAGCCATCAGGAAAATTTCAGTTTCAATGTGAAATTACTGACTTGAAATACACTTGATTTCTGTTTTTAAATCACATAGCTAATTCATAATTTCATGGTGAAAGCATCTATCTTATGTTTAAATTTCCCCAAGAATGCTGGGTATGGATGGGAGGTGTGGGTTGTTTTGCAGAAAGAACTGTGTGTAGCATCATGAATAAAGAATGGGTTCACTAGCACCAATTCGATGAAAAACATTCCTTGAAAACTTATGAAGGAAGGCTGTTACATATAAAGTTGAGCATGCAGTTGATGAGTGGTACAGACAATTGAGTGCTATTGGTGTTTTTACTGGTGTTTCAGACCTCAGTTTAGGAATCACTTCCTCTAGAAAACTTGCTGATCTCTAAGATTAGGCTACATACCTCTCCTGTGGTTTCAGAGAACCCTGTGATCAACTCTTATCAGTGCACTCATTACTCTCAATTATTCTATCTCTGGTAACAAAACAATAAGCATCATTAAACATTTTGCTGAATCATAAGAATTCAAATCCAGACAGTTCAGTTCAGTTCAGTTCAGTCACTCAGTTGTGTCCGACTTTTTGCAACCCCATGAATCGTAGCACGCCAGGCCTCCCTGTCCATCACCAACTCCTTGAGTTTACTCAAACTCATGTCCATTGAGTCAGTGATGCCATTCAGCCATCTCATCCTCTGTCGTCCCCTTCTCCTCCTGCCCTCAATCCCTCCCAGCATCAAGGGCTTTTCCAATGAGTTATCTCTTTGTATGAGGTGGCCAAAGTATTGGAGTTTCATTTTCAACATCAGTCCTTCCAATGAACACTCAGGACTGATCTCCTTTAGGATGGACTGGTTGCATCTCCTTGCAGTCCAAGGGACTCTCAAGAGGCTTCTCCAACACCACAGTTAAAAGCATCAAGTTTTCGGCGCTCAGCTTTCTTCGCAGTCCAACTCTCACATCCATACATGACCACTGGAAAAACCATAGCCTTGACTAGACGGACCTTTGTTGGCAAAGTAATGTCTCTGACCAGCATTTCTCATGATGTACTCTGCATAGAAGTTAAATAAGCAGGGTGACAATATACAGCCTTGACGCACTTCTTTTCCTATTTGGAACCAGTCTGTTGGTCCATGTCCAGTTTGACTACAAAAGCAGGCAGTGTCTTTTATACCTGATGCTGGCATAATTTCCAAACACTTAGTTGTCACTTACTTGGCACTTAGTGTCCAAACAGTCATTGAAAAATTAACTGAATGATGTCAGAGAAGAGGCAGACAGATGAAGACTAGAGCTGTAGCTGAAAACTTGCTTGGGGGAGGGTGAGAATTAAGCTGGGCTTTGAAGAGTTGGCAAGATTTGGGTAAGTGTATAGGAAAGCAAAAAGCATTAGGCCTGGAGTACTTGAACCAAGCCACAAGAATGGGTATGTGATGTGTTTTGGGTACAGTGAGAAGACTATCTTAATTGTAAAGGAAGAAGCAAATTAGTGGACATGGAGATAGGGTATGCAGGTTGAAGTCAAATATAGACTTATATATTTGTCTTATATAATATAGACTTAATATAGACTTATAGAATGCCTTAGGATCCATGCAAATAATTGGGTAGAGAGCAGAAAGCCACTGAAAGATTGTGTGTATGAGAGTGACATAATAAGAGCAGTTTTAAAATGAAAGCATTATGCAAAAACAAATGCAACCATATAGGTACCTTTTAAAGAATGCCTATTTTACTAACAAGCTAATTTTAAGGAAGGTAGCCTTCATTTTATTATTTTTACTCTATCAACAAATGTCTATTGAGTACCTCTTCTTTGCTATTTATACAATGTAAAAGATGAGATAATCTGCAAAGATGATTTAATGTAATTTTCTTAGATGTATTAAAATTCAATTTTGAAGTTTTATTTTCTTTCAAAATACTAGACTTTCATCTCACATAACAATAATATATCTTAATGCCTTCAACTGGCTCTAATATGTCCTTTATTAACAAACTAGCTAGTATTAAAAATAATGACCATATTTAAGATGATTAGGTCAGCCCAACAAACAACAAAAATTAGTTGTTTAGCTTATCAGTTTCTTGATAAGCTGTAGCTTTTGCTTGTTATTGCTAATGAACTTTAGGATTCTGCATATAACTCTCTCTTTCTTATTTGATGTATGTCTTTATAACTTAGAAAAGGCAAAATCATCAGATTTATAGATGACACAAAGCTGGAAAGAAAACAATCTATCGATGTCATAATCAGGAAAATTTGGGGCAAGTGTTATATCTAACAAGATGGAACCAATGGGGATGAATCATGTTTCTAGGTCCTAAGAAAATAACCACACCAGCAGAAGACTAAGATGATGTTTAGCAGCAATATCTGGTTTAAAAATCCCCAGATGTTCACCCTAGCAAGTTTACAGTTTGTGGTGACTACACTGAAACTTATTATGTCTAACTTGTTTTCCTCTATTTCTTTCCAGTGATCGCTGAGGAAGGCTTTCTTGTCTCTCCTTGCTATTCTTTGGAACTCTGCATTCAAATGGGTATATAGTTTCTTTTCTCCTTTGCTTTTTGCTTCTCTTCTTTTCACAGCTATTTGTAAGTCCTCCTCAGACAGCCATTTTGCTTTTTTGCATTTCTTTTTCTTGGGGATCTTGATCCCTGTCTCCTGTACAATTTCACGAACTTCCATCCATAATTCATCAGGCACTCTTGTCTATCAGATCTAGTCCCTTAAATCTATTTCTCACTGCAAAGATGGGCTCAATAAAGGACAGAAATGGGAGGGACCTAACAGAAGTAGAAGATACTAAGAAGAGGTGGCAAGAATACACAGAAGAACTGTACAAAAAAGACCTTCACGACCCAGATAATCACAATGGTGTGATCACTCACCTAGAGCCAGACATCCTGGAATGTGAAGTCAAGTGGGCCTTAGGAAGCATCACCATGAACAAAGCTAGTGGAGGTGATGGAATTCCAGTTGAGCTATTTCAAATCCT